TCCCAGCGCTGGATTTCACAGGTCACTTGCTGATAACACGATGTGGAATAATGCCACCGAGTGCTCCTCAAAGCCTAGCTGACAAGCGCGGCTGACAGCGGGGGAGTGCGCGTCACGTCAGAGCCTTAATTGGACACAAGGACCTTCCTGCACCGGCTCACGCGGCCTTCAAAAACCCAGCGCCCATCTCACTTGGCAACCAGACTCTGCTCCACTCCTGCCGAGCTAGTGCTAAATACCAGCGTTGTAATGAGACAGGTGAGGTACTAGGTGTAGGGGGGTACGGCCACGGATAACACCACCTGACACATGCTAAAAGTGTTGTGCCAACTGGTTACTATCCACTTCCACCGTGGCTCTGACATTTTCAAAACCGCTTACTTGGATAGAAAGAAATTATAGGAAAGAAAGGCAACTTAAACTGTGCCGTTTTGGACATTGTAATGTGTCTTGCATGTCCCCTATCTGTTTACATACCACCCTGAATGCCTTTGATTATAGCATATCTTGGCTTAATGCCCCACCCCATCGCTGACCAACGACTGGTACGCATAGCCCAACCCTGCTGGACAGGAAATGAAAAGGAAGCTCTCCATCTGATCAGCTTGTGAGTCTGAGACTTCAAAGTGAGTGGACGGCAGGGTGGAGAGGAGACCTAAGGATAGGCCCATTCACAGGCTGTACAGCAAAAGGCCCTATCTGATCTGTGCCGATAAAGAGCACTCTGTTTGTTTGCTTAATTTTAGCTGGAGGAGACTCTAAATCTAAAGTACATAATGTTGTCTCCCTATTTCCAAGAGTGAAGCAGGAAGAGTGTTTAAATTTGGATTTGAGAATTGGATATCGCGCCTATATCTGCGGTGTAGTGCTCTAAAATGATTTGTTTCAGTTCTAAGTAAACAAAGGTTTGCTCTGCCCACATGCTCTGGTCCCATCCCTTACAGGCTGACATTTCTTGATCTCCAGCAGTATTGAGTGAAGCACACATGACCCTTTTGTCCTTATGTTGATGAATGACTGCCTCATACCCATTTTGTCAGATTTTGGTGCAGTGGAGTCGATAGCGTCACCTTGACAAGGAAAGTTTGTGATCCATCAGCCCTCAAGGCTGTCTGGCCTCAACTAAAGGCCTGGCACGAGCTGCTCACACTATGGGGCATCAGCTCTGTCCAAAATCCTTCACCAGTGCTGTGGAGGGTCGAGCGCGCCTCTTATTACCACCACTTTACAGTGAGGGGAGAAAAGAAGAAAAAACACTTGACTTGTACTAATAGCTGAGAAGCCCTGCTGGTCACCAAAGGTCTGAAGACGAAGCACCCTGTCAGTGCCCAGCTTGGGAAATTAGCAAATAATGTTCCCTTCCCCCTGACAAATGTGTGACAGCTCGCCTTCGCCAATCATTCTCTCTAACGTTATGATGCATGTCCCGGATCCCCACTGGAGGATACAGGCGAAGTTTACTGACCCTCAATTTACCCATGACAAATGGGGTCCCGCTAAATGTGCGTTTTCTGGGGCGCGGAAGGGGTTCATTTTAAGCAATCCTGGTTATATGGATGTCACTGATTAGGATAAATAGTGGCTGAGTGTGTTAGGACTGCTTGCAGAACCATATTACCAAGGGCCTGCATCGCTGCCCCCAGAGGGGAGCTCTTGTGGAAACTTGGCAAAGATAGAAAACCAAAAGCTCTGATGCAATTAGGAACTTAAATTGGGTAAATTGTTTACTCAAAGTTTTTATTTATGATTTACTTGTTCACACACTAGTAAAACAATGTAATAAAAATAGGTTACAACACTGTAAATGTTCCAGAGAATAGCTGTTAATAAAGTGTAAAGTATAATAAAGTATTGACTTTGGCACAGCTTGGACTTTCTCCTTTTGATTTTCTACAACCTTGCTGACAGTTAGCTCTACCAGTCCTGTCCTGACCAATGGATAACCAATACATGGATTAGACAGAGGACATGCAGCAGGCTCCCAGGGACAACATTTGGTGTGAAAAGGAAAAGGTATGGACTGTAAAAAGCTCAAATAGCCACATGTCATTCAGTTCAAATGTACCAATTAAAGTGCACATATAAGCAGCATGGAGCAGTCACTAAACTTTTATGCCCAACTCTGTTTGTGTCATTAGTGTTTTATACTTTGAATAGTCAATGGCCACAGGATTATTGGACAGCACTACACGGCTCTCTCTTTAGAATGCTTTGTGAGTGTTGGAGCCCGTCCAGAGCACTCGCTCCACTGAGGACGTGTCCCATTGCTGTTCCAGGCCCACTGCAGGTCTCTCCTATGTTGACTCACAGTAATTTGTGATAATTTCTTAAATTGAGCGAGTTAAATCTGCACAATTAGGCTGGTGGTGCAAGAAGAGTCAACATGAAAAAAGCGGTCTGCAGGCCTCTCAAGCAGGGCTCTTGAGTCACGCTTGAAGCACATGCTTTGATAAGCAGACCTTTGATATGCACATGTTGCTTTCAAATATGACACCAGGACATTGTGTCCTTTATACAGCACTGTGTCACTACATTGCCCTTTTCAGCTCTGCTGATTTGCTATTGTAACTCAGGTCATTTCAAATCTATTTGCTCCTGCAGTCCCATTTATTCAAGTGCTCTAACACAGAGGAGGCGCTGTGCTTTGAAACGAGCTGTTTCACTCTTAAATACATGATCCAGCCTCTTGTTCTCAGCCCATTCACATTCTAATGTTCGGCACAAGTAGCTAACATCCTTCCTTGTAGCAATTACAGTACATATGGAAACAGTGATACCTAATTCTAGCGTTATGCTCTCTTTAACAGTTTCATTCTCTCAAGCATCAACCCTCATACAATCAGGGTGAGCCACAGTGGGAATAGCAGAGCAGACAGTCGGACCTGTCTATTGGTGACTTTCTCTTTTAATTCAGCGCACTAATCAATTGTACCAGCGTTGCCTCTAGGGGTAATTGTATCTTTATACTAACTGGAAGTGAGTAGGAACCAGGGGAAGACAGAGAGGAAGAATAGGGGGGAAAATCAACAAAGATAGAGAAGGGGACACGTTTCCCTAGTAAAACCTGATGGTAATCGTCCCAATCCGCTTAGCCTCTGTGACTAATGGGGTCTGTTCTTGTGGGACCTGGCACTTCCACCAGGGTGCTATAGAAGCCATTAATGTCTTAACTTATACCTCACCTTCTCAGGGCTGCCTCTCTGCACAAACAGACACACACTTAGAGCCACACTCGCGCTCCTGTTTCATTATCCCGCTGCCTCGTTGGCCTCTGCTCCACTCCTGCTAGGGAGGTTAAACGCAGGAGAGCGAGGCCAGACTGCACGCATGGAGGAGAGCGGAGGGGACGGGCGACTGGGGGGTGTGCTCAAGGTTTGGGGAGCTATGGAGCGATAGAAGGAGGGAGAAGGGGGGGGTTGATGAGAAACAGCTGCCCCAGGACGGAGGGGTCTGGTTAGGCGGGAGGGGTGGGGGGGCACCCATTTTGCAATTCTGCCGTGCTCAAGGCCAGGGTGCTGGTGGGTGGGTGTTGGGTGAGGGAGAGTTAGTTGCGCCCTGGTTTGATTCTGCCCCATCAGAGGTAGAACAGACAGAGGCTTCCAGGTCAGACAGGCCGTGACCTCCACAGCTCGCGTCTCCTCACCAATGATGACAGATAAGACCAGCACTTCCTTCTGAGAGAGTCACACATACTTTCTCACAGGCATCATCTGACCAAACCACAGTCAATTTAAATTTCTAAAAAATGCCATAGAGATAAGTAGGTGCATTTGAAATTCTTTCTTATATAGTGCTGATTTGAAACATTTTGTCTATGCAGGTGGTAGATGGGACATTAACTATATTCCCATGGGATAGAAGTTTGAACTCTAAAGTAAAAGCTGACTGTATGAAAGGCCTTTATGCATAAAACTGTGTCGCACAATTAAACACAAAATGTAAATACGGGTGGGATGAGACAATTTTCATAAGATGAGACATCAGTTTTGGATTTATGAGATAAGACAACATTTTGACATAATTTATAATACATTCATTATGCAATTCAGTTTTTCTTTACTTTATCACTTCATGTTGATTTCATGTTTTTGCTGGAACTACAGCTTCTCAAGAGGTGTAACCCAGCAAAGTTGACCCTTTTTTTTATAAAATGTTATCTCGCAAGATCTTGTCTCATCCCTAGTACAAATTACCTACCTAAAAACTAAATACATTTTGCAGAGTTAACTGAAGTGGACAAATGAACAGTACAAGAGGAAAGTACAATTCCATAACATTATTTCATATCGATTTTAAAATTCTGATCCTGACAGATATTCAGCGGCAATTTTTTTACCTTTCAGATTTTTTTAATTAATGATTCAGCAGTATAAAAAGAAAGATAGTAAATTGTAATTTTGCTAAATCCCCACTGGATGCCACCAAAACACCCACACACAAGTAACAAATGTTCAATACCTAAAATGTGAAACTGACTGAAGAGTTATTAATTAAATCCAGCCCATGTTTTCATCTCATTAAATAATTTTTTATGTAAACTTCATATTCAACTTCTTGAAACAGATCTCCTCCACTCTCTCACTTACTCTCCCATCATCTGATTGATGTTAAAGCCACCACATCTACACACGTTTGACAAAATGGGGGAAATTAGCTGAAAGTGTTATCTGTCTCACAACGGGGTAGATAAAGAGAATTGGCACAATGACTTATGCTGACAGCTTGAGTTTAACAGGGCTTGGCAGCGACCTTGTATGACGGCGGGTCAGGGGGGGATTGGATCTCACTTGTAGGAGCTATACTCGGGCAAACACCTAGCAGCACATCTCACACGTTTAACATTCGCCGCGCGGGTCTCTGGTTAGTTCATTATTAGCGCCCTGAAAGCTGCATCCAGACAGGGGCAAGGAGGAAGAGGAGGAGTAGGAGGAAGAGGAGGAGAGGACGAGGGGAGGGGTGAAAGAGAAAAAGAGGAAGGCAATGGGGGCTAGGGGGCTTACCAGTGTAGACGAATCTCCCGGGGGCACCTTTGCAGAACTGCTTGGACTTGTAGGACAGCGTGACTTCCACCACGCCGGGGATGTGCCGAGGTGGAGTCTGCACCCGGATGGCGTGGGGAGTTATCAGCTGGAAAAGGAGGAGAAATAATGAGCTCTTTCTTAAAAACACGATGTTAAGTGGAGTGTGTAATTGGCCCTAGCCTGTACTGACAGTAGAAGAAAGAAGTAACTAGATACTTAAGAGGTGTACTTGGATGTATACATTTTGTAAAGCATACTTTTAATGACCTAAGTGGTGGTATTCTGGATTGTAATTACAACAAGTGGTTAGTTGTAAAAGTAGTAGAAATACTGGTAGTGTGAGGATACTTGAGATAGTGAGTGTTGTAGTTGTAATGATTTTATTTTATTTTATTTATTTTTTTAGCAGTATACAGGTTTAAATTAGTAAACAATAGTAAACGGACAGGATCTAGAGCCACAAGATCTCACAAGATAAAACTGCCATAAGATAATTCACCCATTATAAAAAAAGATCTCAGGATTTTTTGTGTTGTTTACATTTTGGAAAAGGGTTACATCTACTGAGAAGCTGCAGTTCTACAATGACAGCAAAAAATGTTTAAGTAAATAAAAACATGTGAAGCTGCACAAATTATTCACCATAAATTATGTTAAAATCTTGTTTTATCTCGTTCTCGTAGGAATTGAATCTCGTCCCATCCCTAGTAGTGATTGTTATTAAAAGTAGTAGTAAAAGAAGTTGTCAGTAGTTATGTTTGTAAGTATAGTAAATTTGTAGTATTACTGTATTGTAGTTGATCAGATTCTTGTGGTGGACTTTAATAGTGTTCAGTAGTAGTTGTAAGTAGTTGAGGAAGGGTTTGTAGTAATTTGCATACTGTTACCATCACTATAAGAATACTTTTTCTACAGTAATCTTATTCAATACTAGCTGTAATTTTACTCCAGTATACATTTTCAGATTTTTAAAAAGTTTTGCATACTGATTTCAGGACTTATAATAATAATAACTATAATTCCATTTGAGCGAGAGTGTTTTATACCTCACTCCATACGAGCATGGTCCCAAAAACGACTTGTAGCCCATCGAAGAAGTTGTCTCCTATTATGATGACTGTGGCTCCTCCGGTGGTCCATCCCTCACTGGGGCTGATGGCCTTGATGCACGGGGTGGCTGCTTATCCAAGACAAAGAGAAGAGCAAATTCAGCACCAAAATTTCAACAGCGGGGCCTGCTACTGTGTCTACTCTACCACACAGACACCTCCCTGTACACTCAACCCCTCAATGTCTTCTCCCTCACAAAGACATATCATGAAAATTGCCCCCAGGAAGAGAGAAAAATGATGGATTTGTCCTTTAAGGCGTGAGAATCAAAATCATTTATCAGCGCAGTGGAGTAGTGTAGTTAAGCAGAGCCTTCAAATGGTCCACTTCACAAAGGCTAAACGCTGGGCTCACAAGGAAAATGATTTGATAGAGCAAATTATGTGTCAGGGCAAATGTAGCTATCAGAATTGATTAAGCATGCACCCGGCGCGGCGTACAGTGCAAAAATTTCAAAGTTGAACACATCTTAAATGAGTCAAGAACGTGAGCCGTTAAAGTGGAAATGACAAGCTTTGGCTGCTTCATGCGATTCCATTACCTTTGTTCTGCATATACAGGACAGAGCAAGAACGCACAAGTATCAGATTTCATAACGTGAAATGCACTCATGAATTATTCACGGCAAGATTTTTTTTCTTTGCTTTTTGTGATCGATTCAATCCATTTCATATTGTTTATTACAATGCTTTTCATCTGGCATGACTTGTGCTACGTAGCGTTGTCATTCATCAACAGCGCGACTTGTTATTATAATCTAATTTGAGTGATCTGCTGCCTCACATTCACTGTCACTTGATGCATTACCTTAATATGGTGTTTGCCACAACATTGTGTTTACAACAGAAATAGCATGACAGCTCGCCATAAAATAGCAATATCAAATTTCATCTATTTCCATCAATATCTGTGAATACGCTATGAATTGTGCATGTTTCCTCGCTGCTCAAAATGCGGGCGACTATTCCAGCAAGTTCCTATTTTTGGGGGTGCTCAGTTCAGAACCTCCATTATCCCTTTCATCCAGTAAGTAAATCGCAGTCGGCCATTGTTGTATGGATCACCTCAGACAAGACATCTCCCTTTGTTTGCCTTGCTGTTGGGTCTGCTCGGGTCATGTTTGCTCTCGCTCCCTGCCCATAAAGTGAACACATACACACGGGTACTACAGGGAATCTGACTTTAACAGGCGCTGTTGACTTCATGCTAATCACCTCGTACAGATTTTCATTTGTGAGGCCTGGAGGAGTGACATTTGCTTTCCTTAATTGCGAAGCGGAGCGTCTGAAAGAGGACCAAGCCTCTATGGGCATGCTGGGCCCCCTCTGAGGGCCTGACCTTCATCAGTGCGGACGATTACAGCAAATAATTCACCCTTCAAAATTACTGTAAACAAATTGACTTTGGGGATGAGACGGGGAGGGAGGGGGCAGCCGGCAGGAGGAGGAGGTAAGGAGAGGGCCGAGTGATGGCGGTTGGGGTGCAGCTGTAGCCTGGATCCTCCGACAGGCATACAAAACAGCACCTCCCACCCACCCACACACAAGCACCCATGGAGAGGCAGCGACTCAGGCCCTAAGCCGTCCAGCCTTCTGCCTGAACATTTGCATATGTCTCAATGCACAGACAGAGAGGGGAGCATGTGCTGAATGGGGACCGTGGCAAAGTGGATTACACAGTCAGCGCAGGCGATCTGATGACAGACACGCACAATGCCCCTTCAGCACATGATAGGCACCAGGAGGAGAGGAAGGGCCAGGATGCTGAGAGCTGCAGCGCTAAGTCCCTGCTAACTTTTCACAGTTTCACTAGTTTCACTTTTACTTAACTGGATCCAGTCTTCGCACATGCATGAAGATATTAATCTGTCCTTTTTGCCTGCTTACATTTTAAAAAGTGCCTATGATGTGAAATGCTCATAGACAGCCAATCTGTGAAGTGTCCTACTGTATTGGCCTCTAGTTAGGGCCGGCTGAAGAGGACGTCAGAACTGATCCAGGATCTGGGCAGAGGAGGCCCGCTCACTATTGTGACACTCAAACAGGTCTGCTGTGGCCCCGTGAAGCCGTCCTTTGTTCTGCCTGCTGAAATGTGTTGTAATTGTGCTGTGGGATGTCCAGATGGTCGGTTGATAGTGCAGCTGATGGGATTATACCTTTTACCTCTCCCTGGGCCATCTGTTCCCTTTGACTCTCTCACTCTTCCTGCCGCTCTCTCCTTCCCTTTCTCCTTCCCTCCTCTCCTCGTCCTCCCTCTCTTTCTTCCTCTTAGGCCCAGCAGTCTGGATTCACTTGTCTTTATTGCATAAACCCTAACAGCATTACAGCCACTTGGCATGCAAATGAGGCAGGCGCTGCAGGCTCTGTGCTGAGTCTCCTATATTGTCTGGGGCTCTATAATGGTGAACTGAGCTGAGGCGCATGCACGTGGGTGTGTGTGCGTGCTCACTGTGAAAGACTGGAATGTTTGTAAGTGTGTTTATTCACCTTTGAGCCCACGTCTATACATGTTTGAGTGACAGAGCACCACAAAGCATGCACATGTCTGAATGTATAAATGGTTTATAATAAGCTTGTTGTGTGACAGTGCACACACAAGTCAACAAAAACTGTCATAACCTGTCATCCAGAGGGTTATTCCTAGTGTGGACCAATAGGGGGCAGCACCTCTTGATCAATATGAGGCAGCTGTAGTGTGAGCAGAGATGCCTTCCAGTCAGTCACTGAGCCACCGGCAGATCGGGTGCTCCTCGCCCAGTGAACTCCCGGCTAAGAATGTGTTGCTAATTTAAAGCATGCTGTCTGTCTGCCCGCGACTTGTCAGACCGCGATGGAGGACGCGCTTAGAATTACATTTTACGAGTGCTTCTCCCTCTCTCCCGTGTCACATCTCTGTTTGTTAAAGGTGACTCCCGACAAAGCGCTGTTGATGCATGTTAAATGAGTTTGCGGAGCTGCTCGCGCTCAGCCAGAAGAGAGGAGCTGTATTTAAGACACAGACGTGTTCAACTGGGCGCTTGACAATAGCGTCTGCGCGCTTTACGGGGCATCACTCGGGCGCTTTGAAGAGTGCAGGGGAAGAAAAGGATGGGCTGGTGTAACCTGTGAAGAACACAGGCGCACACGGCAGCACACACAACGCAGGCGGTCCCTGGGGAGCAAGGGAACATGGAGGCGAGGGCTCAACCTCTTTAATTGCTCTCCTCATTAAGAAACTGGTTGCTAGGCGATCCACACCTATCGTGTCATAAACGTGAAACACACAAACAGAACGTCAGCGAACATAATGACTTTGGTGCTCCGGGCAGGACTTTAATTATTTGATTTTGTTCTCCAGTAGAGGAGTCATTAATAAAGACAAAAACAAATAGATTAGCTCTTTCCCCCACTAGGACTGGGGTGCACTGAGATATATTAATTGTCTAGTCCTTTTTTTTTATTAGATGTTGTTGTATTAAACATTACATTTGCTTTTGGTGATAGAACCATTAATGCCCATTAATGTGTAGAGAAGCTTGTTTTACTCAGTGGTGTATATAAACTGTTTGCCCAGACATAATTGGCTCTTGAAATCTGAAGATAAGCAATTTACACAATTGGAGCCAGTCTGTTCAGTGCAGTTTCTCCTTACAGTCTTTCAGCTGCATGTGCTCCCATCTGCGAGGGGAGGCCATGGGGGTCACAAGGTTATGTTTAGTGCATTTTACTTTTGTATTTCCCATGGTTTGGTGGTCCTTCTCCTCTCTCTTTTTGGCTGAGCAGGCAATCAGTCTATCATATGGAATCAGTTGGAAGAAAAACAGTAAGTTCTGTTTTTCTCATAGAGCGCCCCCCACCTACTCAAACACACACCCTCCCTCCCACTTTCTCTCTTTCTCCTGCGTTCCCTGTTTCAGCTCTCTCACAGCTTAAATCTGCAGAACCCAATGACAGGAAATTGACCTCACAGCCAAATTCTTAAGCAATTTGATCATGTTTCACATTGACTTTTAGGACAAATGCATGTGCGCTTAGTAATAGAAAACTGGAAATAGTATAGCATTTCTAAATTATAGATAAGTCTGAGTATTATCTTCATTAGTGTAATCAAAATGATAAATATATAGAGTAATGCATGCTATTTCCAATGGTAATTCAAGAACAGGTATGAGGGAGGCAGAAGCAACTAAAAGTTAATCATGGAGGTGATGGAGTAACCAAACTGAGACTACAAGTGACTAGGTGCGTGAGATGTGGAATGGAAAAGTGTCTAAAAGAAAACTAGAGGGAAAAGGAGCGTAGCAAATAATAAGATGTAAAATGTGCCTACCATTCTCCAGATAAGGAGGCGTACCTTCTGAAGGGTCGAGTCTGCGAGCCCTTCGCCCGTGCTTGGAGTTGTTGTGTACAAACATGTTGTCAGAGACAGCCAGGACGTGGCCGTCCACATTGACAGTCGTCGATACGACCACCTACAGGACGCAGAGAGGAGAAGAGTTCAAATAAGAGAAAAACAATAATGAAGGCCAGTTTAACAGGCCCACAGCACACTGCATGTTCCAGAGGCGCCAGTCGATACATGAATGTTTCACAGAGCCTGCTATACCAGGTGCATGGCTGTGCACTATTGATTTTTATTTTGCTCTCTTTGGACATATCACATTACAGTTGCCCTGCTTCTCAGCCATTTTGTTTTTGCTTTTTAGTGTCTTGCATTTGTGTACAGCTAATTGACTTTTCAATCACTAAAATACCATTTCCGTTTGCTCACTCCACCAACTGTCATATAGGACAGGATCACGATTATTGATCAGCTTGTCCATCTATTTGAGGAAGGAAGGCCTCCCTTTTAAAATATTACTGGAGTCATTAGCAAGTGAACCGTACGCCACTCCATCACTCAGCAAACATTTTACTAGGATCGGATTCCAAGCCACACTCCATATTTCATAATGCTTATTTTTGTTGTTGTTTTTTGGCCACCACATTTCCAAACAGTGCAGCCCATGTGAATGGCCAAAGTGTTTGGAAGCCGGAAACACAGAGCCCCTCTCAGGTTTGCTTCGCCGGTAAGTGACCTCGGTGTAGCACTGGAATTTAGGGGGCGATTTTTTTCCTTTTTTTGGTTGGTTTTAGGAAGGGTGGGGGTCAGGAGGGGGGCTGTGGACGCAGAGAAGGGGAAGTGAAAGAGCTCCATTCTTGTGAGCAGGTTCAGAGCTGGGCCAAGCCGAGGATGATGGATTGGGCCCTCTCTGGCCTCCAGCTGGTTTTTGGGGGTAATAAGTGGAGTGGAAGGCATGCAGAATACACAAGTCGGGCCAGAGGAACACCTATACCGGAGCATCTGGGAAATCTATCTGGGGGAAAAAATGACATCCTAACTGTTGGACCGAGGACAGAACCATCATTAAAAGTTAACAATACATGTAAAACCGTGTTGTGTTTGAGATTAATGGTCACGTCGTAGCCTAAAAAAAAGACCCCAAAAAAACACTTTCTTTTTGGCACAGCAGAGTAAGTAAGAGGTGAAGGCCCTTGGTGGCTGTCAGGCATCAGTCCAGATTCAGCCTGAGGGGAGAGAGGAGGAGGTAGGGGAGGTCTGAAGGAGGTGACGTGGGGACGGGACACCCTGTCTGCTCTGTTTCATGTCCCACGTCGTCACCTGGAGCATGCCGCCTGCTGTCGCCTCGTGTGGCTGTCAGGGGGAGTGCGCGCTGGTGACGGACGCCTTCCCCGAGTTTGTCGTTAGCCCAATAGGACAAATGGAGCTAAACTCTGCTAGCTTCACCTTGACCTAGTGCGCTCCTGGATGTCTGGGTGGGATGGATGGGTGCTTGGAGAAATGGATTGGTAAGGTGAGTGTGAGAGTGAGAGTGTTAAAGTGGTGGGGTCAAATCTTTTTTTGTTTTTTAAATCTTTTTTCATTAGATCAAAGTATTATATTATTACCCCAAAAAAAAAGTATTAAATCTACAATCTTAAAAGACATTGAAATAGTCTCGGGAAACTTAAAGGTGCACTATGTAACTTTTCACCACCTACTTGTCTCCATGGTGATATTGCTTTTCTTGATGTTGCACACTATGGCATTAAAATTATTTAGCAGATCTGTGGAGAGGCAAGTCCACTTACAAGCATAAATGCTAAGGTATTTTTGAGTAATAAAACACCTATAATTTAATACATGCAAAATAGATACGTTTAATGGCATACTGTGGGACATTCAAGGCAAAGCAGTTTGGGGTTTTTTTGTCATGTTTTTTGCAGTACAGTCTTATTTTTTGTTTGTTTTGTCATCATAAAAAGGTGGTTCATAATACTGAGAAATCTTTTGTATAACTGGCCATGTCTGCCCACAAAAGAAATGTAAACAAAGGCAATTTCCACAAATGTTAGCAATAAATCTCTAGAAATTTACCAAGAAAATCAATCAGAACTGCATTGTCTAGCAAATCAATTGACTTTTTAAAACAAAAATCTGAAAAAGACTTACTGATGTTAAGGAGTGGTGAGTAGGGCTGGGACCAAGGCCGAGGAAAATAAAATTGCTTTGTGGCCCTTCAACAGTCATGTTCCTTTAGTGTAAATCTTTCGTTTTGTCCGACCACAACAGTGATGGCTTTCAGATGTCTCTCAGTGGTGGGAGCGGCACATGTGTCAGTTTAAGTGTATGCATGTGCGGATGAGAGAATGGGGGAAGACATACGGAGAAAGTAAATATAAGTATGTGCCTGCATCTGTACATGTGCGCTATGCTAGCTCCTGCGTGCTTGTGCATATGGGTTTCCGCTGGCAGACAGATCCCTGAGTTAACACTGTTGTTACATGTGGTCGGCTCGTCCTCCCCTCTGCGCCGCGATTCGGAAAACTGTCATCCACACAATTGATGACACTCTTAAATCCTATATCCTTATTTGTGTCAGCTGGTATTCTCTTATAAATATTCTGTCCGGAGCACACGGGACACCAAATCCCCCTTTCTCTCTCTCTCTTTCTCTTGTCTCCTCATATTCGTGCCAGTAATAGAATTGTATTCAGATGTGGCGCGGCGCAGAGTTGGTGTGATGGACCAAAAACAGACAAAGTGACAAAGTGAAATGTAGCGGACGTTAAGTGCGAAGTGGTTGTGGAGTCACCTGGAATCTGCGCATGTCCCGAGGATTCCCTGCATTCTTCAGACAGTTCTGATTACACTTGAGGAAGAACTTTAGGAAGAATCTGGAAAACAGAGCACAGAGCAAAACATGGAATGATCAATCAGGTGAAAACATATGAAACATGGCTCTGAAACATCTTGATTTCATTCTTTCAGCCATTCATACAAGCAGAGCAAGAGCTGTTCAGAGCAATGATGTACGGACAAGCCAGAACAGAATAAATAATATGTTTCCAAACTTTTTAAAAAACAGCAATAAAATCGACTTAACCAAACATTCTCCGTTGGATCAAATTTCAGATTTTAAAAAGTGATGTATTGTGTAGGTGACTAAAAGCAATGGTTCTATAGACCTAGGAATATTATGCACTCTTATTTATAAAAGGGTTGTATAGTCTTTCACTAGAGGGCATGACCCTTGCTGTGTGCTGAAAAGGATAAAAACTATCCTGCTAGTTTCCCACATAAAATGTTTTCAAAAACAAAACAAATTATCTTTATATTGCAAACTTTTCAAACCTTAATTTGATTTAGAAAAAAAAAAAAAAAAAAAGAAAAGAAAAATGATATTTTCAGTAGCCTAAAACAAGTACAACTGCACTAGTTATTTAATCAGAATTTATAAATAATGCAGTCTGGAGTTGTGAAAGGTTTTTCTTGTAAGGGTGTCTCCCAAACCTCATCTTTGGCTCTCCTCACCTGAGTTCACAGGTCTTCCCCAACACCCATCTGCCACTAACATCCAGGAAGTCACTTGATATTCCTCCCACCTCTTTAATCCCAGGACACCCCCTGTGCAATTAAAGTTCTCCTGTTCAATAGGGAGGCAAATGAGGCCCACCTGTGACCAGGTCTTGTTTGAAGAGCATCAGGGATAAAGGACCTAACAAGGTGAGAGCGCGCCACAAAACTTATAGTCCTGTCAGGCAATTAGGCGGGCACCCTTGGGACCTCCGTACACCACACACATATAAGGCGTGCACACACCCATGCACTTGTGGGTGGGTGAGGCAATTATGCCACAAATTACAACCTGGCTAATCGTCGCTGAGCAAATGTCAGGTCTGAGGAAGATCTGGGCCAGCTTGGTTTGTGCATCCAATCTCCTCTGCGCTTGCACCAGTGTCTCCCAAAAACCTATCAATAAACCTTTGTACAGACCTGTTTTTTAAGATGTGGAGAATCAAAAGACAACCAATAACAAAAATGGCCTCACACGCTGGCTATTGTCTGACATCCACAGCCACAACCGCACTGAATAAACAATGAAATTGACTTGTTGTTCTAGCAAATTCTCCCCACAGACTCAGGACTGATTGCGGCCTTGCTTTCCCCTGTTCATTATAAATATCATGCAGTGATATTTATTTTTCATCACTCCACGCTGGCATTACTATGTGCAACACTGCGCTCTCCATTGTAATACTAAGTTAGCTCACACAATCGCAGAACCTCATTGGATTACCATAGATTGCACCATAGATTGCAGGGCCATTTCATTGGGGCTAAATACAGTGGCTTGTGTGGCCTGAGTGGACGCTTTCGCAACACTTAAGTCTCCTGGTTCGCCCAGTGGGATCCTGGCCAGCCCATAAATCAGAGTCTGAAATGACCCTTCTAACCCTGGCCACATTAACACATGCACTGGTCATTTAGAAGCGCTCTTCGATAGACTCCTATACCTTGTGCTCGTCGGAGGGCCCAGGAGGGAGAGGAGAGGTGAGAAAATATTTTCACTCCACATCCAAAGAGCTTGGCTTGGACATCAATAAAAGACGCTTTAACCCATGCCAGAATGCTGATTGCCTGTCGGTGTGTGGCGCACCCATAAAAAACCTGACTTGTCATTAGTGCATTTCACTTGATTGTGTTCACTGTGTTTTCGGGTTGCATCTGTTGGCTGATCATCAAAATGACCATTATGTACTCTAATTCCCTGACCCTGTTTTTATTTCCCCAAAGAGTCATAATGTAGAGCAGCAGACATCTGCGGAAAGCAGACCTGAAATACGACTTTTATTTGTCTGTCGCCTCTCATAGCGATTGGGTAAAGCCATGTGTGTGCTGTGCACAGTGCAGTGTCTGTGTATGTGTGTGTGTGTGTGTGCGTGTGTGTGTGTGTGCATGTGCATGCGTGTGCATGAGCGTGTGTGTGTGTACGTGCATGCATCACGCACAGGCAGACAATTTATGTCAGAGCTCGGATAGACTACATTTCCTGTGCAATGCATTGACTTCATAAAAGAAAGACATTACTTTGAGAGTTGCTCTTGTCTCCTTTACTTGGGGACTCGCTTGTTTTTACATACTGTTCCTAACAGCAAAAGCAAAAGTTAAGAAACAATAAACACAAGAAATGAAGTGCCCACGCTATCATAAAGTACCTCCTTTATGTTTACTGTTATGAAGGCAATTAAGCACAATTTCTCTGCTAAAAAGATAAGCTTAATTTTCATAGTCCGCAGCAGTGGCAGCGCTATAGCATCCATTACATTTGAGTTGGTTAAGATTCTCCATGAGCACGGTGCAAATTGGTCCTTGGTGGAAACGAGAGCAATTAAGACAAGGCCCCTCTCTCTCTTTTACTTCTTAAATATCTACAGAAGTTTGTGCTGGTGTTTTGGCACGCACGGAGACAAAAGGAGGTTGTTTAATTGTTTTTTAATGGGATATCAAGTCGTCGCTGCCATTAGATGTTGGCAATGGAGGGCAAAGGGGGATAGAGAGAAAGAATGAACTGCAATTAGGTTTGATTAAAGCTATCCTTCTCAATAATCAGCTGTTCTGACAGGACAGGGGGACCCTGGTGGCCGCTGAGATGGAGGAAGGTGTTGAGTGATATTAAGGCCAATGAAGGGGATATTAACATGGCTAATTAAAGCTCTTCCAAAGCCGGGAGAGGAGGCTCTCAGTGGACCGCACTGGATGAAATAATCGGCCCAGGCAGCTATCAGTTGGAGGGGAGAGAGAGAGAGCGAGAGGGAGTGGGAGGAGGGGAGATGGGCTGGGGTGTAGTCCATCTGAGGAGGGTGGGAGGGGTAGAGGGATGGAGGGAGGCGTAGAAGGGAAACTATGAAGTGTGAAGAAAGACAAAGAGGAAGACATGGACAGGCATAGAGAAAGTCTTCTCCAGCCAGAGGAGGAAGCTCATTTTGACATCAAGCCTCTGTCTGCACCTCAAGTCTGCCAGTATAACTAAGACCTGACATTGGCTTTTATCTCCGACAGCTAGTCATACAGGTCCACAAATCAACGCTAAAACAATCCTGCTCATGCCTTGGTCTAAGGCAATTAATAGGAATCTCCTGTAGAACCTCCATGCTCGCCCACTGCCGAAGCTACTAATCATGCCATAATGATTTCTCTCCCTCTGGTCAAAGGGGAAATAGATTGTCTCTTTAGTAATGCAGCAGGCTCTGCGCCTTCCACTCTCTGGCTTCACAGACCCGGTAATTGAGGAGAAAAAGGCCGACTTTGGCACTTTGACTGATTTGAGGGCTGCTAGACCCTCTTATCTTTACTCTGATCATTTTAGGCTGACACTCAAAGGAAGACCCATGGCCCTAATTCGAGCTCACCCTCTCCTATCATCAAACGGCAGAAGGGAAAAGAGCCGGGGAAAAACAAACAGGCGAGGTGAGGAAGGCCCTCTCTCATTTAAATGGCCAACTTAATTGCCGGGTTGATGTCACTCATGCATAAATGTCCATGGCTTTGATTTGAGTGAAGAGGGCAAATAAGGATAATGTTGTATTATTAAGAGGACCCCGTAGTCAATGGGAACACACACTCCTGTCAATTTTCTCTCTTCCTCTTTTTTTTCTGTTCCAGCAACTTGTAAAAGTGAATGAAGTTCAATGGAAACTCAAACAGTTCTTTTAGGCTTGAGTGCTACACCTTGTTCCCATTGTAGCAGCAGGCTCCCTGTATGTGTTTGGGGCCGTTACACAATACACTGACAGATGGCCACAGTATCAGTAAGAGTCAGGTATTGACAAGTCTAAGCTCCTGATTGGTGCCCCGGCACTAATGACTAGCATGCGGTGTCCACAGCCGGCAGCCATGACAGTGAGGTCATCGGTTGCGGGGCGGTGAGTATCGATCAGCAGCCCAGCTTCAGCCCATCAGGCCCCAGCTGCCTCAGACTCAATGGGCCCCTGTTACAGGAGGCTCCCAACACCAGACTACAATATGCTGACACCAGATCTCTACGCTGAGATAGTAGTACACGGGTCAATAGCGTATCGGATTTCCAAAACGCCAGGGTCTTAATGTCAAGCCTCCTGCCTTCCCTACCTACTGCTCCAGTTATTAGGCACTCCACTGAACTGCACTCATCCCTGTTGTGACAAGGCGGAGCAGGTAAAACAAGAAATAGAAACACTTATAGATCTTAATCTTGCCCAACACTTATTTATGCAACTATATATAAGTCCCAGAGAGGCCAGGGTGAGGCGCGCAGCCATGTTCTTCCTGTCCTAGCCCGGTTGGCCGCTGTCTCCCCTCGTCAGGCCAAGCTGTTTTTCTCGCCTTAGCTCAAGTAAACCACAGCACATTAACAATATTTGCTCTACCCCTGTACAAGCGCCCAGGGACTAGACCCACAGATCCTATCACTTCTTTATCAGGGAACAAGTGCCTCACTATCCAACCTTATTGGGTTTGGGAGATTAACCCTTTCCACTCCTCTGAGAGCAACCAGGCAGATGTCACCATCATTATTATTGTTCAGCATCAAATATCCCCCCGACTGTCTCTGAGAATTTATTGAGTATTTCCAAGGCCTCCACTGTTTGTTTTTATTTTTGTATTTCTTCCCAATGCAGTTTTGTCGTTCCATATTTCACGTTTTTGCTAGCAATGTCGAATAATTGATGCTCTTCTGCTGCACCCTGAGATGTAGTTGTGTCCCTTCCATTCATCCCTCTTTACCCTCTCCTCCGCATCCCCCCATTCGCCGTAATGGGCAGAGTGGCATTGACATTATTTCACTTGAGGATCGCTCACTCTGTCAATCCCTCTTCATTTACTCCATGGCTACTGGACTCATTACGGTATC